TTGCCTGATTCTCTGCCTGCCTTGGATTTCTCTCGCCTTATCGTTTGGACTCTGTTTGCCCATTTACTGGACTATTGCCTGTTTGTGGATTACCCGTTTGCCTTGCCCTCTGGATTACATTCGCCGATTGAAGACCCTCGCCTGCCCTAGGAATACTCTTTGCCTTGCCTGTGATGTACCTGTGTTGTTGTCTGACCCTTGCCCGTTCTTTGACCACACCTTTGTAATAAAGCCTTGCACATGGATCCGCACGTCTCATGTTCTGATTACTCCGTAACAGGATACTCGGCCAGACAAGGATCCAGCGGCTTCACCAAGGAACATTGGCCAGGTATGAATGCAGCGATTTTGCTACTAGCGCTCAAGCAGGCACACGATCACTCGAGGGTTACATTGTGGAATATTTGGCTTTGGCAAATGGCTCAGAATTACCGGACTGTATGTTAATAGACTTTTTCTGTGATGGTCTTAACCAGCCTTTAAAGTCAAGAGTGATTCAGGAGGGTCCTCGTTCGTCACTCGTTCAATTTATGGATTATGCTTTGTTGACTGTTGATCCTCGTTCACTGTGGGTGTCGCGGAGGAACTTGAGTCAAGTCAAGTCACAGCTGGTCTTCATGAGTCTAGTCAAGTCACGGTTGATCTTCATGAGTCTAGTCAAGTCACGGTTGATCTTCATGAATCAAGTCAAGTCACGGCTGATCTCCAGAGTCACGTCACATCACAGCTGATCTTCCAGAGTCACGTCACATCACAGCTGATCTTCCAGAGTCACGTCACATCACAGCTGATCTTCCAGAGTCACGTCACATCACAGCTGATCATCCAGAGTCACGTCACATCACAGCTGATCATCCAGAGTCACGTCACATCACAGCTGATCATCCAGAGTCACGTCACATCACAGCTGATCATCCAGAGTCACGTCACATCACAGCTGATCATCCAGAGTCACGTCACATCACAGCTGATCATCCAGAGTCACGTCACATCACATGGGTGAAGGAAATGGAATTTGATTGATTTTGATTGGTTTTCTTTTCACTTATTTCTTATTATTGATATTTGTTGTTTGTTTTATTATTGTTATTTTGGTTGTTTGTTATAGTTATTTAGATTAGTTGAATTGTAAATTTACTTGCTGAATTACGAAATGTTTATTGTATGTTTCCCCTGTCTTGTTTAAGTGAGCTCACCGTCTTAAATACCTGTCTGTTGTGTTAGTTGGGAGGTCAGCTCTGTTTTGTTCAGTACTCAGTTTCTCTTTATTCTGAGTTAAAGTGTGTTGTTGACCTTAGTTATTCTAATCTAGCTAGATTATTTATTGGACCAAGTTGATTTATTTTTTTTGTATTCTTTGTTTGTGACTTTTCCTTATTTTTTGGAACAAAAATTCTGTTTTTTTTTAATGAAATTCTGTGTCCTTTCGCCAGTCTATCTGGCTCCCTTACATATGGTGGCAGCAGTGGGATAAGCCAGTAGAGGACACAGGTTTTTTTTTCCTCTCACTCCTGTTCAATTATATTTTTGAGGAGTCATGAGTAGCCACTCCAGGGCAAGAACGTGCTAGTCGGACACTCCACGTTAATCTTTTAAAGAAGTGGGTATCCCGACCTGAACAAAAAGCACAAGTTATGATGATTTGTTATGTGAAGGAGGAAGAGGAATGGGAAGACCCATACTTGCCTCAACCAGTAACTGGGAGTATCAATCTGCAGCATTTGCTGGAAGATCAGCAGTCCCAGGTGAGAGTTCTATGTAATCCTGAACTATTCTCTGAATATCCTGGCTTAACATCGTTGATACAACATGATGTGGTACTAAAACCTAATGCAACTGTTAGACGTTTGAGTTATAGAATACCGGAGAGACTCCAAGAGGTCCTAAAGGAGGAGGTGAACTTAATGCTGAGATTAGGAATTATTGAACCCTCTAAAAGCGAGTGGTGTCATCCGGTCTTAGTACCAAAAAAGGATGGGAGCATCCGATTCTGTATTGACTTCAGGTACTTGAACTCTGTATCACAGTTTGACTCCTATCCTACTCCCCGTATAGATGCCTTAATTGATCAGCTGGGCAAATCCAAATATCTGACGACTATTGACCTGTCCAAAGGGTACTGGCAGATACCACTCACCCCGCAGACTCGTCCTTTGACAGTATTTAGGACCCCATGGGGCTTATTCCATTTCCGGGTTCTACCCTTTGGCCTGCATGGGGCACCGGCCACCTTTCAAAGGCTTATCGATCAGGTACTATGTGGATTAACCTTTGCTGCAGCCTATTTAGATGACATAGTTATCTGTGTGCCGTGGCCAGGAAAGAAACAGAATACCTGGGCTTCGTTATTGGTAACGGGGTAGTGCAACCTCAGGTCAAGAAGGTTCAAGCTTTAGAGGAAGCTCCCATTCCACAGACACGTAAGCAACTTCTATCCTTTCTAGGAATGGCAGGATTTTATAATCGCTTTATTCCTAATTTCTCTAGTAGGGCCGTCCTGTTGACAGATATGGTTGGAGTCCAATGTCCGAATCAGTGTCAGTGGTCAGAGGAAAGGATGGCAGCTTTCCGAGATATTCAAACTGCACTAAGGAAAAATGCTGTGCTGTATAGTCCAGACTTTGCTCAATAATTTGTTGTCCAGACAGATGCCTCTGAGAGGGGCATAGGGGCTGTGCTTCTACAAGGACCTCCAGGTAAACGACGGCCAGTGGCTTTCAGCAGCCGCAAACTTTTTCCACGGGAAGTTCGTTATTCTATAGTGGAGAAGGAATGT